ACTATTCAAGTAGTGTTTCCAATAACTTAACTGGCTACATGTTTTCAGCATGAGCTGACTTTGGTTAGAGAACCATCAGAAAACGTTAAAGTACTTAATGACCGTTTCGTTCTATTTTGGGTTCTTCATCAGTGCACAATCTCGAGGTCCGAACCTGGTACCACCCGGTTACAAGGCGAGTTACTGAGACCCGACCCAGTAGTACATTAATTTCTATTTCCACTGATTCGCGATATGCGTTTGAATGTGGTTTTCAAGGAAAGTTAAATAACAAAACTCAGAGCTTTCTGATTGTACACTTCGTGTCTGCGTTACATTAGTTAACATTTTGTTCGGTCCATTTAAATTTGCTTAGCTAGTAGAAGTTCACCCAAAACCATGATCTCTTACCTCAAAATCGAGAAGCCGGCCTAAAAAATGAAAGTGAGTTACGCTATCTCGTCAAAAAATAATAGAAATTGCGGGTTGGATATGAACTCATTAAGAATATATGTGAGTTCCAATACAAAAATTCCTAAATTTATTTTAAAAATGTTCTTATCACAAATGACTGAGACCTGTTTCATGCTCGTTTCATTTAAATTATGCAGCTCTGCATTTGTATAGCACACAGAAAACATTTTTGTTTTACTACATGAATCTCGTCACGTTACTATTGTTAAAAAGTTATCTTTTTCAAACTGACGTATTTTTCGGGTATGATGTAGCGTAATTCGAACTCGTTATTCATTTTCTTAAATGTTTTACTGGTAGTTTACCTGGAAAAATTACTTTGCATTAGGGGAACGGGAGCGTTACGTTATACTGGTCATCACAGAAAATAGTTCGAAGCGAACTAATGTGCATGATTGTGTGTGCTATGTACCTGGTTGGACGAAAAATATCAAAAGTGTGTGAATAGTCGACATGGGGAATAGTTAAGAAATTGACAAATCTCAATTTTATTACAAAACCAAGACAGTTTGATTGTTCCACCATCCCGATCGTTACATAACCAGGATTTGTCTATTATACTACCACTCTCACCATTCTTTTAAATTTATATCCACTTGCTTCGTTAAATAAACAGTGTATATAATAATATTCACATGTATTACTGAATCGCTAACTATTCAGACAGCGATGCTTATAAGCATCTAAATCTCTATAGAGACACTTGTAAGCATCGGTTGGTGGAAACGTCTCTGATAGGTGAACAGTTTGACCAGTAGAAAAGGATAATGGAAAAATTAACATAAACATATCCGGCAACCATTAAGAACAGATACCACAGCCAAATCAGCTTCAGCTAACCAAGCATATCTCCAAACCCTAGAAATTAGTTCCTGTACACAAATACATTTTAAATTGTGAATGATCTGAATGGTTTTTATCATAGTGACTGATGTGTGGTACCTATTTTGGAGTTTTCAGGCCTTGTTATTTTGGTTTAAATCAGAAAAATGACGTTTTTGCGTGTATGATATGACTTGGCTTTATTTTCCACAAAATAAATTCCAGCTTCATATTGTTTGATATGGGTAATTGATAACTCTGATTCCAAAAGTTTTGTGGATATCTTAACTCCTTTCGTAATATTATCATCTAGATTTGTTTAACTGACCTTATTTTTCTCTATCTGCATTTGTTATGTGGTTACACATTTGGATACTATGACAACTTGACCACATCAAATTCTCGTGTTTTTAATTAGAGAACTGTACGTATTTTCTTGGTTCTTCACCCGATAAGATCACATAAAGACATATACATATATATTGCCTTTAAATAGAGGAATATACCAGGCTCCTACCCTAGTTTCGTCTGTATAAACTTAAGTAGTAACAAGGTCTTACACCGAATCAGAACAACATGAATCTATTAATCTCACTGTTTTTTTCTCCGCTGCTTAAAACTCACAATACCTATTGCACCACATTTTAGTCAAACATACACCACATACCAGGGCATATGATATAAATCAATGATGCTATAGTGAATACAGGATCCTGTTATACATTCCGATAGTGCGATGGAATATGAAATAAACATCCTGAAAGAAATCTCAGAAGAGAAATATTAGGAAGTGCCTACAAAGCTTGGAAGGCACTGCAACTGTCTTCGAAACTTCACGAACGGCTGTAAATGATAGTTTGCAATGTTGAAGGGGCTCTGTGCAACAAATAGGTGGTCGATGATTTGATAAATATATGGAACTTAGCTTTTCCACTGGAAGACTGAGGTTCTCCAAAACCACTCTTTCCTCACTGCTATAAGCTAAAAAAGACCTCATTACCAACACTACATTTGCATGTCTTAATTTGATTGTGGAACTGGCAACTGGATGTCACAGGACTATGGCCGTCTGCTTGCAGCATCCATCATCTACCGGAAAGGTAAGAAGGAAGTAGAGGAAAGAAACATCCATGAAATGAATGGGCTACGGGTATAGGAAGCCAGTTAGTCATGCTGCTTGAATGACTTCGAGATCTCTTCTGATTGGCTTCAACAAGAAACAACACCGACGATTGTTGTATGGCTATCACGCTAGGCCTGAGCTTTGGCCACACTACCTTCTGACCTTTCAGCCCGGCCAACTTAAACTGGTGGCCAGGCTGCTGTGGCACTAAATGTTGTTTAGGGGTTCACTGATTAGCGATCGTGTGAAGGGGCCATACAGATAAACAATCCCACCAAAACTCAGCCACTGGGCACTTACCCGTTTAAAACCCATTGTCAAACATTTGTTTCAGTCTTCAAAGATAAACAAATTGACCGGTGAAGGTGAACGAACCACTTTGATCACCTACAAGGGCATTATGGCGTTATCAGTAAACGAAGAAACAAGTACTTGAACATGGGGAGGCGTGCGTAGTTAGCGTCTGTGTTGGAAACAGTTGACCGACTCAACTAATTTAAATTAGATGTTAATAAAACCTATTACCGCATGGATATAAGAATAAAACTTGTGCACTGTGGTAGATTAAAATTCCATCATGGGTAAAGTTTGTTTTGATAAAGTAAACATTACTGTATAACACTGAAAGACTTTATCAAATGAAATTTTACCCATAATGGAACTGTTACCGCACGGTGAGATTTTGCAGTTTCTCTTCAATCGCACTGCAAATACCACGACTGGTAATAATATAATATTTGGAAATGTTTCAAATATATATATAATAAAAGTACGTCTCAATAAACAATGGTATTTTAATAGTTCATGCTGCCCAGAATTGGTGATTGTTAAAGTCTGTCACCTTCTGTACGCATTATTTGGGATGCATGTGATCAGGCAAAATGGCTTCCACTATCTGTAATAATCTTAGTTTATAATGTCCTGAAACACTGCTTCGCAACACAATAAAAGACCTTGAAAACAATAATGGTGACAGCTCCTATCTGAGACCTTCAGGAACCATAGAACCACTTAACGTTCACAGATTTTTAAAACAGGGAAATGCTAGACGAAATAGAGATCTCGGAAGACATTTCGGGACTGATGTCTTGAGAACTACCTATAAGAGTGGTCAATTGATGAATTCTACCGATGGTATAATTAGGTCCTGCTTTGTTAGCATATTTTCTAAGTATCACTTTTGTTAAGTGAACAGATATATATTGCATAGAATAATTAGTGGCTAGGATGGGAATAATGTAATTGGTTTTATCTTATAGGATAGGTATGATAAGACGATGGAATTTACTATATTACTCACATATCATTTTAAAAATGGAACAAGATTATTTTTTTACACGTTTGTTTTGTGTTAAACGTCAAGTAAGTCTGTTTAAGTAGACATGAAACACCAGTTTAATATCAAAAGTCTGCCCAGTTGTTTAGTGTCCTTCAAATTAGTATACGAAAAATTTAAACGGCATAAGTAACCCCGTTTTGAAGTACAATCAATTAGGAAACCTTTATTTACAGCATTTTGGATTATAATGTTCTCTGTGCTTTTGAATTCCAGCCGATTGAACGTCTGTTATCAATTTTCACTGTAGTTCATACAGTATCATGTTGTAAAAAACAGTGATTACAGCCAGGGCAGGAGGTCTCAAGCTGCTTTTTGCCTCATCAGATAAATGTTAAATTGATTAGAGCCTCACTGTCAAGTAAAACAAAAATGACCTCTCACTTTTCATGGATAACAACTTCCCCTGAGTCACTGACTTTTATGTCTTGCTATGATGGTTTAATTTTCTTCATGTTAATTACCCCTTATTCTTTGATGCTAACACTTCTTTTGTGTCTTGGTTTTGCACTGTCGCTGCTATATATTCAAATTTTATGATGTAAATATCTCTGGACGTTTTTATGAATATGTTACAAGTGTTGCTTACTTATGCTTAGTCTTCTGTGATAAAGCATTTACTGAAAACTCTTTTTGTCATTTTAAACTTTGATGGACTCACTGGGAAGTGTAACTAACCAGGTACTTTAAAAAAGTTGTTTCCAGTAGCCATATAGATATGCTGTTTATGAAGCCAGCTTGAAAGGGGAAAAATTCCTCCAGATGTGCTATGAAGCTGTAAGTTCAGGCTACACAGTTTTATCAGCCTGCTCTAAAGTAAATGCCCGATAGCAGATAAAAGTAGCACAGTCTAATTTACTTTTTACTTAATACTGCGTTTAGACAGATTCTTTTCTTTGTTTAACAAAGTTATTTTCCTCAGTCTTAATATCTTATTATGGCTGCGCCAACCATTGCTTAAGCAATTCACGTACGCTGTGACAGTTAAGACGGATATATTTCGCTGACCGGTCTACAGTTCACTACAGAGAAGAAATCATATAAGGCTGATGAACGATGAGAGTTAGAAAGTCAGGTGATAAATAAGGCATTAGACTGATACTTAAAAATATCTGTTATATATTTCATAAGTAAGTTAACTCAAACATCACATTCACAGATTATTGATGAATACCAAATCTCAATTTCACTGTATATACGGACAAATTGAACTTGGATTTTGATTGAATTTCTTTAGAAACTATGGAAAATGACAAAACCCTTGAAATGAGCTCTGTACAATTGGAAAAAATATCACCACAAGTAACTAATTTCACAATAATTGCAACATTCGTCTGGTGAAGATCAAACGATTTATTAGTTTTGTCAACGGTCTCAAAAAGCCAACAAGTGAGCAGTTAGAGGAGTTCAACGAAAAGTAAGACTATATTTATTCCAACTATACCCGGCACATATATTTGTTTGAAGGGCGACACAATTTATAAAGGAATTGAACAAAATTAATGAGACAGTAAGACAAGTTAAACAGGTAATAGTGTGCATTCATTTCAAATTATTTTTACAACCATGGGAATAGGACAAAGATTCAGAAAATCGAAACCCAAAACTGGAGTCAATGAAAAGTCAACTCCTTATCAAAATCTCCACACTGACTGTAAGTAATTAATACCGTATATCTAGTGAGATTTCCATTTACAGGATAAATTAAGCAAACTAGACAAGAAAATTGGAGTAATGTAATATTGGTGTTTATTAAATTATCATTCCATACCAATTGTTAGTGATGGTAGTTCTTTGTCGGCGAATGAAAGCATCCCTAGGCGAGATCCAAAGTTTCAAGATCAAGGTAACTGTATATAATACAAAATAATTAATGACAAACGTCTGCTGTTTCCTAACACTTATGCTATATTAACCATGATATAGTGAAAATGAATTGTTCCTATGCATAGTAAACGTCAATCGAATTTATTGAAAAATGTTGTAAACCAGTGGTTTGGACTCTCGCCGACCATGCACATGGTCCGAGGTTCGAGCCCACGCCGACGCACACCTGATATCTATGGTCGGCCTCCAAAATTTGGGCTACCGATATCCACGCTGAAAATTCCATACTTGTACGAAAAATACAGTATGGAATCAAGCTGTAATCAAAAATAAATAAAATAAGTTATACCGTCTGTCAAAGACGTTTCAGAAATTTAAAATAAATTATTCATCACGCGTCAAACAGTTCAATTCACTCAAGTGAATACTGATATTTGAGCGGTTTGACCTCAATGACGTTACAACTTAATACTGCTGCCTATTAGACGCCAACATTTTTAAATTTTTAAAAGTCAAGTGAACTACCTAATGGTGTCCATTAACAACGTAAACACCTAGTTTTAAGTCAACATCTAGTTATTATTATTATTGTTCCCTTGGGTTCCTGGTGGAACATAGGGCTTCAACTGCACGTCTCCACTTGCTTCTGTCTTCTGCTGTACTTTTCGCCTGCATCCATGTTAGTCGATACTGTTTCGACTCCTCTTCACACGATTTCCTCCATGTCACCGTTGCACTGACGTACCACTCGAGGGCCTGACGCGCGGTGTCACCGACCGGCCTCTTCAACGAGTATCCAATCCATTTCCACTTTCTTCTGCATATTTGTTGGTTGGCGATTGGTTCTTGTTTTGTTTGTTCCCATAGTTTCTTGTTGGTGATTCTTTCCGGCCATCTGATCTTCAGTACATAGCGAAGATAGTTGTTGATAAAGGTCTGCAACAGGCTGTTGGAAATATTCTTTGTGACCCACCCGCCCGCCAAGTTTCTGATCCGTATAGAAGAACTGACTTGACGTTTGCATTGAAAATCCGAATTTTGTTGTTGATGCAACATCTAGTTAGTAAAAATTTAAAAGGAATGTTCAGACTGTGTGGCAGTTCGTCCGAATTTGGACTATGCTTGTCAGGTATAGGTCACTCAAAATAGTAGAGATAAAAAAGATTAAATGTACCTCTGTTCTGTTACATGCTTTTGGTGGAGGAGAGTATTAAAGATGTGAGAAATTTAATCGATGAGATCGTTTTACCTCCATAGGCTGTGATCACAGAGCCATTGCCTTCTCAATAAGCAATGTTAACTAACATAGAATTAGGCTGGTAACGAATTAAGGACGATTTAATGATGACACCAGTTGAATAAGTTCTTTGAGTGAACCAGTTTGGAATGTGCGGAGAAGCTGGCTAGGGTCGCCTGCAGGCTAAGAACAAGTGCTTGGATATTGTTGGTGATATCGCCCAAAATTATTTGCAATTGCATAGATGTATTCACGCCTTATAGTCATCATAATTCCGAAAATGCAGTCCCAATCTTCATCTACTTATGTTTGCTGTCGTATATCTTCATCCATTATTGTTTAGTTCGGTTCCATCTCCTTTCTTTTCTATGTGTACTCTACTGAAATTTGGTAACTTGAACTGAACTGACTAAGAATAATAAGTAAAGCTCATTAAATAGGGTGACAGATATTCTTATTAGCATAAAAATCTAACGAAGCCTCGAATTTCGAAATAATGATTGTTTAGTGAACATGCTTGACCAGTACACAGATAAATTCGGAATTCGGTTATAGGTATTTAAATTGAGTGTTCAGCCTACACATTTATTTAATTGTAATTTGTCACTGAAGTCATGTAAGGTGGGCGAACACTTAGTATCTTCTATTTTATGTTGAATTTTAATTATTTAGAAATGCTAAACAGTGGTGCTACAAAAAATAATACTACAAAAAAAAATAATAAAGGGGTGATAAGAGCAACTATATTTAGAGTCATCAGGGACACAGTGTAGCAAGTTTAGTAGCGTTTAGTAATCCTTGCAGTATGTGTGCTTGTGAAGGTCCAGTTTCCATCTTAAAATTTTCATGAAGGAAGTCAACACTTATAATTTAAGTAATGAACTCTTTCATCGATCATCAGTATCCCTGTTAAAATTCTATTTAGCCTTAACAATGTTCCACTGGCCTAAGACTGACCAGAACTGATAAAGATTATCCAGTAAACTAAGGGATTAAAACAACTAGCAAATTTACTGCAGATTATCACACATTAAGACAATAATGAAGACTACGATAGAGAAGATTTGTAGCTCAGGTGGATGATTTTGATGTGGTTTTTTTCTCTGAGCTGGATGGTTAGTTTGCGAAGCTTTCATCACCCTACTGGGTGACATCTTCAGCGCACACTTCAATTTGAAGTATGCGCTGAAGATGTCACCCAGTAAGGTGATGAAAGCTTCGCAAACTAACCATCCAGCTCAGAGAACAAAACCACATCAAAAATGAAGACTACGGAGGTGTGAAGTACATCAAGTGCATTAAGATAAAGTAGTTCGATTACGACACGTTTATACATTTAACAGTTTTCATTGCAGTCATCGTAATGCATGACTCAAGAAAGACACACTTTCTGTTATTTTAGAATCAACACTTCCAACAAGTGATACTACAACATATACTTAAACGAAGACAAAGTTGGCGGGTCAAGTAAAAAGGATAAAGGCAATAAGTCAAAAGGTGAAATGAAATCAGCGGAAGTCAAAAAAACCAAAACAAAAGAAGTAAATGATGTCACGGCTGGTGTTACAGTTGTTGCACAGGTGCATGCTGTTGAAGATGTGAATGAAAGTAACGAAGATTTTGCTCATCATGATTGTGATAATAATAATAATAACGATGCTAAAGATGATGGTAAGAGCTCTGGAAAGCTTAGATCTCCAAAACGATTAATAAAATCTGGTAAGTTAGTAACACACACATTTTTGCAGTTTATGCCTGATCATTTTTACAGGTAAAAAGGCCAAAACACCTAAAGATGAAAGTGAAGCTTCTCTCAAGAAAAGTGAGAAGATGAGTAAAAAGAAAGAAAAATCAACTAATGGTAATTCAGAGGTTATTTTATCATCCTGAGGTTTGCATTTCTGAATAAACGGTCGTCCCACCTGATTCATTATGATCAGAAGTAACATTGGATAGATGGTATGATAATGTCGAACGAATAGTTAAGTGTCATTCATTCATATATCGTCTGGTGAGAAACCTTTAAAGGCTGAAGTGAAGTAATGACTATCTTAGTGACCATGTCACACAGCTACAGGTTAGTAGTACAAACGCCAGTGGTTACAATCCTATCTAGATTTCTATTCCACCACCACTCGTCTCCACACTGCGTCAATATTAGTCTGTCATTCCGAGTACATCTCAAGTAGTCTAGTAAGTAATTTTATCTATTCGATGTTCTTTATTTCTAAAAGCTGCTTTCAATGCTGATGGGAAACTAACACTTGAAAATTAATCTAATTCCCACTAGTAACTCCCTACAGGACTAAGTTTCATGGGGTTGTAGAGAGAAGTTCTCACCAATGCAGTCCACCAAGTCAGGTATGACGGCAAATACACGCCAATGACATTATCAACATGTAGCTCTAAGAATTGTGGACCTCCAGAAGTTAGAATTCACAGGTCACTGGATTCCGTCCCAGTGTAACAAAAGAAGACAAGGGCCAGGCAACAGAGCGTTTATTAAGGGAGTCAACACGTATTTATATATTTTCATGTACATTATTATAGCTTATCCAAGCAAACAAACACAGTCTTCTGATTGGTTGTTTCTCATTGAAAGTTGACCTTGCATCTCTTGTGCCTGTTTCTTGAATGTCAGATCATCTATATGTTAACTGTATCTGTCTACGCCAAGTCTGCTGTGATTGGTTGTTGAATCAGTCTTGTTCATATTTTCTCACGACCAATATTTGCGACATACCCATTGACGTGAAATACTGTCTACCACTTTGGCTAGCAGCCACCTCTCACCACACCAGAAACCAAAGGGTCAGTAGTCTTGCTTCGTAACCTGAGGGTCCTCAGTTAGATCACCGGTGCCGATAAGTACCGAAAACTGGGATGAGGCAGCTGTCCAACTGATATCTATCCGTCATCAAAATGGAAACCAATCAAAACCTTAAAACTGACACTTAAAATGGTCACTGCGCTTTTATATTCCAATTTTAGTTTGAAAGCTCATAGAAACAAATGAAATTACGATGGCCAATATCCTATTATTCTTTGAGCAGGTCAGATATCACAGGATGATATATTCACACTACTTTTGTCAAGTGTTTATTCAAAATGAGAAGTTATTATTAAGTCTGTCTGCATTTTATTCCTAGTTGGAAATATTTTCTCACGAAATTTAGTAAATTATTTCTATGGAGGATTTAGTCATGAGCTGACATCAGTTAGAGAACCACTGGAAAACCTGGGATTACTGGACAGCTGTTTCGTCCTAGTTTGGGACTCTTCAGCAGTACGCACCCACCGGGATTCGAACCCAGGACCTTGTGGTTACAAGGCGAGCTCGCAGACCATTGAGCCACTGGGACCCGATCCAATGGTTCTTGAATTCTAACTTCTTCCAATTCACGACATTGCGCGACCACTTCGCAATGTCTTATGTGATGAGTTACTGCCTCATCTTCGACCTGCTGTACCCTACTTGTCACGGCTTCCCACTAGAACCTCAGGTTAACTGCCTGAATAGGTACTGATGAGGAGTCCCAAACTAGGACGAAACAGCTGTCCAGTACTCCCAGGTTTTCCAGTGGTTCTCTAACTGATGTCAGCTCATGATTAAATCCTCCATGCAATCAAACAAAATCCCTACAAAACCAACACTTGTAAATTATTTCTCTTATTAGGCAAGTCCAGCAAAGTGAAAAAAGCGAATGATGAGAAGCTGTTGACTGAAAAACCATCCAGTATACAAGGGAATAATACAGAAGATATTGAAACGATACAAGAGCTGGAGGATGAAGAAGGTCGAGAAGACGAAAGCGAAACTGATCGAGTTGAACCCTTTCAGAAGGACACCAGTGAAGTTAATGAAAAGACTGACACAAAGGAAATAATTATTATTTCACAGAATTCTTCTCAAGTCAATACTGAGGTATTATTAGAAAACATTTATAAGAGAAGAGAATTCTTCTTTTCTTCTTCTTCTTCTTTCATATTGTAGAAGGTAAAACAAATGACTGAGGCTGTGCCACCTATCCAACCAAATACAGAGACAGCCATAGAGGTATAACACAATGTCCAGCTTTTCTTCATTATTTTTAATTGCTTAGTTTTATCGAACATTTCGTCAGTGGGCTGGAGAAGATGAAGACGACTTGTCATTTAATTCTGGTGAAACTATAAGGATTATAGAGAAAGAGTAAGAGTAAAGAATACGCAGTTCTAATTCAATTCTCAATTTACTCTTTCGTTTTTTTTTTGTTGACTTATATTATTCCTATCTTCTGATTTATTTATGAGCTATAAATTTGTTTTGCTGCAATTGTAGACTAGCACAGTCTGTTTACAGTTAACTGCTTCATTTAGCCTGCTTTAGTGAATATTTATTTAGACGTTTTTCAAAATATCATGCTTTTATACGATGTCAGCTCAAGTATGCAGGTCTAACTCTTTAAATCCATCATATCACAGACAGGAAACAGTCAATTAAAAAATGTAGTATTAAGTAATGTAGCATGTAGTGCTTAGAAATGAAATACATTTGAATTAACCTAATGCCATGCTCTTAAACTGGACTAGTGAATACTAAATACTCTACGATTTATGTTTAGAATTAGGAAGACTGTTTATAGTGTTATAGAACCCTAGTTGTCTTTTCTATCGGAGTGTAAGTCCTCCATGAGGACTTATCAACATGAATAGTCATTTACTGATCGAATGAAAGAGTGTCATTTATGAGTAATGTAAATAAGCTTAAATGAAAGCCGTTTATAAACTTTGATAAAGGTCAAAATTTCTATCCCTGTTTATTGGTTCAAATAAGCGGGTGAAGTTCTCATGAACTTTGATCAAGATTCGATGTAAATGTTTCATAGAAATTGATCACCGGTCGGGAGCTGGACATGAATAGGAAGTTATTTTTGCAGCATTTTCAGCAGCGTTGAGATGAGTAATTCTGACATGACGTCTGGAAAGTGATGCGGAATTCTTCGCAGAAATATTCGAAATTTTGTGTAACCGTTAAAGTTTCTTTTTTAAAGGGTACTTCGTTTAGCTATAGAAACATTGAGGAGTTATGGAATCCAGCTTATTTGATAATTTCAAGTTTAAATTATTCAGGAATCGGATACAAGTTATACCTCATCAAATTTGAGCAACATTTAATGAATAGAAACTGCGCTGAAGATTTTTGTGGCTATTCACATCAGTTATCTACCGACATACTCACCTTTGATCAAGCAATAATTTATTGAAACCAACCATTTGATTGACTTCAGATCTATAGGTTTTCTCATCTTGTTTTGTTTACATTTAGTGATGATGGCTGGTGGCTTGGAGAAAATATCCAAGGTCAACAGGGCTTAGTTCCAATGAATTTTCTTAAAGTAATGTCACAAATTCATTTCCATTTTTACTGTTACAACCGTCTACGTAGAAAATTGATCTTACTGAATCAGAGTGGCAGAAAATGAAATCGGTAAATGCATAATCCACTTCATTTAGTTAATACCCTTTTTATTTATAGGAATATGAGAAGAGTAAAGATGGTGAAATAAGTGGTAAAATCCAAGCCGAAGACAGTCCGGAGACATACAGTGATGCTGATGACAAATATGATGACGAACAAGGTGATTTTGTTCCTATCTAATGCTTATTTTTTTGTGGGATTATGTAGTTAATGAAGGAGAAGTGCAAGAAAGAAAAGAAATTAAAGTTCTACAAACTAAAAATAATACGAATCAGCCTAGTGTTCGCACTGAAGACATCACTAAACATGGTGATGATGATGATGATACTTGGGGAAATGAAATTGACAATGGTCAAGAAGACGAATTTGAAGACACTTATAATGTTGAAGAGGAGGTTGACGATGTGGAAGACAACCACGAGGACAAAGATGACGAGTATAATGAAACTGGAGATGACAAAATTAAAACAGCACTGAATGATACAAGTAAAAGCTGCACCGTAGGCCAATTTAGGTATGTTGAAAAGGGAGTGAATATAAAGAATGCCTTAATCTTTTATTTCTTCCTTTCTTTAGTACATTCCAAAGTGAAAAGGATATATCAAGCTGGTTTATTAAGGTAATTACTAGTTTACACCAGTTTACTGCTTCTTATCTTCCAAACAATAATATAAATGATGCTTTAAATAAAAACGATTAAAGAATAACGTATTAGCACATCTTCAATAAAAAAAATCCTCATCATAGGTCTGAGGTATTTGAGACACACTAATGCAAAAATTATACACTATTTTATGCTCATGGAGAGAGGTGTGCAACACAAAGACTATTGAATACAACTTTGAAAAACACTAAGGTTAACAAATCTACCTACATAAAATGAATTCAAGAGACACCTACTACATAGTTTATACCTCACTATTCGAATTGAAAGAATACATGAGGGAAACTTTAGCAAGATAACTACTCGTTACGACTTTGTGCTATGCCAGTGAGAATTCCAGCCTCGTGAGTCACTGACTTCTTTAAAAAAAAAGTGAAATATACTAACTGAATTAATTTGTCTTTTACTCGATTAAAACAAAAACTTTCTGGGATCTGTCACTTTCTTCAAAAGTAAAAGAAAGTAATCAATCTTAAAGACTTCTGAACTAGCTTATTTGAAATATGTAGTGTTTTTTTGTCATTATTTAGCTAAATTGTATATGAATACATATTTACATAGGATCCAATCTGCCATTGTTAGAACTTCATATTTCTCAGCATAAGCAGATGTATGTAACTTGAAGATTGTAGGGGAATAGAAAGTCCTCATCATGAGTATATAACTTGATGGTAATCATCATACTATACATATATATATATATATATAATTATTATTATATCCTTTTATTCCTAGAGGAACATAGGGCTTCAGCTGCGCGTCTCCATTGCCTTCTGTTTTCTGACAACTTTTTCACTCCGCTCCAAGTCTGCCCACATGCTTTCATCTCCTCCTCACATGACCTTCACCATGTCATCCTTGCACTGACGACCAACTCGCCACCCGCTTCCCTTTCGGGTTCAACTCGAGCGGTGGCTTGTCTAGTAATGTCACTTGATGGTTTCCTCAGCGTATGGCCAATCCATCTCCATTTCTGCCTGCCTATTTGTTGCACAATCGGTTCCTGGTTGGTTCGCTCATTGCCAGAGATCCCTGTTTCTGATCCTTTCTGGCCATCTGATCTTGAGTAGTATTGAGCGAAGACAACTGTTTATGAAGGCCTGTAGTTTGTTTGAGATGCTCTTTATTACGCGCCAAGTCTTGATCCGTATAGTAGCGCTGACTGACTTCACATTGGAGTTGAAAATCCGGATCTTATTTTTGATGCTGAGTGATGTTGACCTCCACACACAGACTTAAGGTAATGAAAGCCTGTCTTGCTTTTCCGATTCTGGCTTTGATATCCTCGTCAGTTCTGCCTGAATTTGAAACAATGCTTCCCAGTTAAGTAGGTAAAGGAGGTTGTTTCTTTCTGGTTCCTCCCATTTATGCTGGCTGATTGTTGTCTGTTGTTGTTGTTGGTGGTGGTGGTGGTGTTGGCCAGGAATCTTCATCACCTACCTCTGTTTTATCTATGTTCACCTGAAGGCCTATCATCTGTGGATGCTTCTTCTGCCAGCTTGTCGCTTTTCACTTGTATATCTTCCAGTTTGTGGGAAGTCAGAAATATGTCATCATCGGCGAAGTCCAGATCCTCCAAGTCTCTTTTAGTGTGAGTCCATTTTATGCCTGTTTCCTCATTACCCGTTGTCTGTCGCATTATCCAGTCTACTGCAATCAGGAAGATCATTGACGATAATATATATATATGCACCCTAATGAACGATAAGATTGTGTATATAATTCTAGTCACTGTCATATGTAACTCAACTAGACTAGTGGAGAAATTCTCAGTATCTCGAAAGACACTTAAAGCAATAAAGTAATTCAATAGTTAGAAGTGCGAATATATAATATGTTTAACATTTTTATGACAGTGACAGTTTCATATGACAGGAACTTACCAGTCTAAATTGTCATCGTGTTCAACCACACTCAAAATAAGCCCGTACTAAACAGTGGACGTAGAAATTTGAGAGGAAGTATCAGTTACCTTAAGATAGTGAGTGATATTCAGATTTTCGAATAGAAAAATAAAAGTAGCTGCATTTGCTTTCTGTTTATCTCCCCATCGAGCAAACTTATTTTATCCACACACACACGTTATAGGCCACTAGTTTTCTTTTACACTGGGGTTGTAGCTAGTTAGTTTCCTAAGGCATCTCAAAGTCAAACAGACTTATGTCTACCAGTCAGTGTTTGACTGTTATAAGACTGACTGATTTGGAATGGTAACACTGGATATCCTTGATAAAGATCACTTGTCATCCTCATATCGGATAATGAATATTAAAGAAAACAACACCCCCCCCTATGCTTGGATTCCAGTAGAGATCCCTTGATAAGCAAGCATACTGTGCTTTCTTAGCACCACACTGAAACGATAACACTACAAAAAAATCTCCTTCTAAATCTATATCTAACTAAACTCGTATCAACCAAGGAAAATGTCCTTTGGGATGACTAGCTTTGAAGCTAAAAGTGAGTAAAATTGTTTATCGGCATGATTTCAAACTGCTGAGACTACCTGATAGTAGGAAGATCAAAATGGTGATTTTATTGTTTATTTTATTCATCAATAAATTCAGAAAAAACCGCACAATTTTTACAGATTTAAACTATTCTTAGTGAGATACACTATCTGCATTCATTGACAGTCTATTTACGAGTATAAATGAAGTACATCGTTATTTGCCTATTGGTTTGTGTCTTTTGAAAGCATACTTAAGGTTTACCTTTTTTTTGTTTTTAAATTTTCACTAGAATAATGAAAAAGCTGTAAAATCTTATCAACCACTACCCAGCGGTGTTCGTCTAAGCTTTCTTTCACTACCAGGTAAGCTGTGAAGATCGTTTTTAAGAATGATTATGCATGACTATTAATTTCAGACGGTATTACAAGTACTACAACCGCTAGACTTGTCGATTTTAATTAGAATGATCATATACATAATGCACAGAACAAATTTGAACTGTCAAAAAGAGATTAACTTAGAAATTTAGTGTTTCAACAACCTGAAATGATTCACAGCTCTTATGGACTTGACTTCAAACTAGAGAAATAGTTATTAGATCATCTCAATTAGGCCGACTAATTGTATTAACTGTTGTCAATGGTATCCATGGTGCTTTTATTCGTTGACAGTTGACATCATATACCATTTGTTGGAATGTTCTTTTATCGTGATAAAAACATTTATTATGAACTATTATGGGTATATGTGCCAATTCGTTTAGTGTGATTTTATCCTTTCACGTTTCTCAGCAAATTATCACATAAGTCAACTGGTGGGTGGTGACTGTCAGTGAAATCCAGCATGCGCATTATGCACCATCTGGGACTCGTCAGCTGGATGTGCCTGCGTTCTCCAGTAAGTGACAGTGATCCCACCGAGGACAAAGTCTTATCCACTAGACCACCTGACGTCTGAAACTGTGGGCACTGGGTTCGAGCCTAGGTGGGGAGATGATTACTCACTGGGGAACAGAAGTACATCCAGATGACGAGTCCCAGATAGTGCGAAATGCGCGTCCTGGATTCCACTGCAAGTCACCATCCACCCCAATTGACTTCAAGTTACATGACCAGACATCGTCGAAGCATCTGCATAAAGAGCCGACATTTCAATCTGAGACCGGGCACTTCGGTCCAATCAATCGGTGGGAAAATCTAAAATTGTATTATCGCATATTTTAAGTGTGTATTTTGTACTATCTTGCTGCAAAATTTTGAAATCCTCTTAGTTACTGCCTCGTTTGACAGTATCACTACACTTATTGCTTTACTCACAAGAGTTTCATTAACTTTGTGCCAGATTCCAGCTGACGAAGTTATCTCAGTGTGTGTGTGTGTATGTCTGTTTGTGTGCATGTATAGAGCCTAGAATCTTGTCAAACATGCAAATTTATATTTTTCGGTTTTGTTTAGGTTGTAAGCAGTTGAGAAAAGAATCTGGGATGTAATAGTTAGCTCATATTGTCTAGATAACTTGCTTTGATTAGATTTCTCAGTCATATGAAGAATTGTATAATGGTTTGAGAGAAAATTATAAATTATTCTATCTCCTTATTATTTACATAGACGGTGTATTTTTCTGTAGATGTGGTTTCTGTAATTTCGCTTGATTCCAGAAATTCAATATTCTACTTCTTCATGATTATGCGAATGTATATTTTTCTTTAATACCTATAAATCTTATGAACTGAAATCAACAACAATTCTGGAGTGTTTTGTTAAGTGTTTTATTTTATTTTTTTTCGCCTTTTTGTCTCTTCATTTCAGGATTAAATTCATTTAGCTATCAGAAGTTTTTGTCACCTAAACTCGGAAGTTCACATCTCGTTTTCACTGACATCCTTTTAGACGTTGACGGGAAAAAGGTATGCTTAAAGTGAAACGCTGTATGAAAAATTGGATTATATGTAACTATTTATACTTACATTAACCTTTATTATTCCAACGGTGTTTTCCATAGTTAAAATAAGCTATGCAAAACTACACCGTCTGTATCAGCCATAATTGTACTTATCTTCTAGAACTCGAAATAAATGTTAAAGTCTATGATTATTTTTTTCGTAAATAACTGTTAATCCTAGTTTCCAGTTGAGTAAATAAATGATGCACAAGTCGGCGACAGGTAGGAGATTGATTTCCAATTATAGATTAGTGATTAACCACAAGATGGATCTCCTGGATTTCTCACATAAAAATGTGATCAGTGGGTTCCACTGAAAAGTTTGAGAAGACTGATACTTTACGATAACCGTTGGATTTCTACCCAATGACTTAGTGATGACGTGGACTCTCTTGTAATCTGAAGAACGTAGGCTCGATCTACAAAGTAAAAGGATGTTCACAGATGCCTATTACTGAGGAGTCCCAATGGAGGATGAAACATATTCAGTGTTCTCTAGTTCCCAGTGGTTTCTCATGTGATGTTAGCTTGTGACGAGACTGTCCAAATAGATATTCAGCTACATCCATGAGTATTTTGGAAACAATTCAATGGTTACTTTGAGGGGAGATATACTCCACTCGCAAATGAAAGGTGAATTTGCCAGAAGTAAAATGTCTCATTATGAAAATTACCCGTCAGACAATCTCATCATTCATTTACATATGACTTTATGTTATTTTCATTATGTAGATTACACGACGGCAACCACGTTGGCAAAAGATTCTAACAATTCAGAAAATCAGTCAACTTTCACTTCTTGAAGAGTCAAGTATGTGTATAATGAATGCAATGAATTGCATCAAAATAATAATTTTACATTTTTGTTTGTAGATTTGTCAATATTGAACTGTCTAATTCGTTTATGCTTATTTGATGGCGTAAAGGTAAGTTGTACGAAGTACTCAAATCAACATGATTAGTTCTTATTAAGCATTCACAGCGTACATCTCAGTGTCGTATTTTATTCATGAGGTGTAATTGTAGGATTTTCTCTATTTAGCCTTCAAGGTTATCAACTTTAAAAAGGTATAAGACCAGCAGACAGAGGCAGTGAACTGGTCAAATTGTTGTTGATTAAAGCAGCACATATATATATAGCTCTGTCAGTTTGGGCAGTTGTTACGGTGTTTTATGACGACACTTATTTCTAGTCGACAATAAATTTTACTTTAGTGATACGGTAGTTTTCAGAAGTGAAACAAATATTTCTATCTGGATTCATACAGAATAACACTTCTCGCATTTTGACTGCTTTATAATAATTAGTTTTGACCAGTTCACAATAGTGAGATAGTAACTTCATATATAAACAGTTTTGAATATTCGTAGCGTTCGTTTATTCATAGTATACACTTTCATTACTAGAAAAAAGTATGGGAGACGTCAGATTTTGACAGAGTGCCACAGTATATAATAATAATAATAATCTGCTTTCACACACAGTAGTTAGTACCTGTGATACATCATGGGATTCTCAGCATTTGTCACATTATCGCATCTAATTTACTCAATATATAAATAGGGTGGGGATAAAGTCAAAAATGTGCTAAGTGCAAAATTAGAATAATATAACTGTAATAATAATGATAATAACACAGTAGGGTTTGTTTCAAACAATAATGTCGATACAGTATGGAAATTTTATCATGTGCTGTAGAACATTGAATCTAATGTTCTGATGAAGGGAAAAAGAAAAAAATAACAATGACTACAATGCTTAAATGATGTTTACACTTATGAGAAAATAAACAAAAGAAGTGAGGGAATTATAAATATAAAAAGAATAATCACAGTAATGCCTGGTGGAATAAGGACGGAGAGGGATAGTTAATTTCATCCCTGTTGGTAACATCAACATCAGGAGAGATATACAATGATGACGATGTGTAGTAATTTGGAAAAATTATTTAAGAAACTGAGTTGTTCGGTGTACAGCTAAAGTTCTACACATTGAGAAAACTAGCAAGGAGAAAGGACCTATCACTCGTGAAACACATAGTCCAGTTTGAAATAGAGAACGTTTAATAGAATAAACATTTATGTCTATACCATATAATAATAGTTGTTAATGTGACAAATCTCTAGATAGTAGTTCTTCACATTTTTAACCATAAATAACTGTTATTCCATTAAATGGTATATAACAGTGGAATCTAGGACACACGTTTTGTTCTACTAGATGTACATGTATCTCAGTGATTAATTCTGTCCCACTTGGGACTGGGTCGTGCAAGCACTGATCAAGCTGTTTGGTTCAACATAATCAGTCGACAACAGATTCAAAGTATTTTCAATGAATCTAACTGTTATTTTACATTATCATGGATTTCAGCTGATTACTTTCATCCATTTGTGTATTTCACTCCAATCATTAAAAGGAATAGTATGAGATAGCCGTAAGTGAATTTATAAAACTCGGCGATGACATTAGAACTAGAAACAAACAAATACCTAAATGACAACCAAGTTGTAATAAACTATTTGTAAACATTCACTCACCGTTTTACTTGCACTAACTGTTTTCCAGCATTATTGCAACCATTACAATATTGAGTACAAATATTCCTATAGTTGAGTGTTACTGTTTACTTTTGTTTCAGCCAATCAGTAATATCTGTTACTTGCCTATAACGCCAACAGATCGTGAAAAGAAAACCTGGATAGTCACTCCACATGTAAGATTTAGATTATGTTAATATGATTAAATTGCATAGGTTGGAATAATACATTTTCAAAAATTAAACATATAGGTTTTTCAAGTATTGCTTTTTGTAGGGATTTGTTTTCAATTGGTTGGAGGATATCATCATGAGCTGACATTAATTAGAGAACCATTGGAAAACCACCTGGGAGTACTGAACATTTGTTTCGTCCTCGTTTTGGACTCTTCGTCAGTATCCACCCCAGGGTTCGAACCCATGACCTTCTGGTTATAAGGCGAGCTCGTAGACTCTTACGTCACCGGGACCCTTTGACTTGGAACCAGAAGGTCCTGGGTTCGAACACCGGTGGGTGCGTACTGATGAACAGTCCTAAAACAAGGTTAAAGAAACAGCTGTTCAGTACTCCCAGGTTTTCCGATGTTTATCTAAGTGATGTCAGCTCATGATGAAATCCTCCAATCAATATAAGTTTTTGTAGATCACGAATTTAGTGATAGACTGTTCTTGTTCAAAGTAGTTTTGTTTCCTTCAGTGGTAAGTAGTCTAGACTCAACGTTCTCACGGAAATAAAGCTGACGACGTATAAGATTACAGTTGAAGTTTACAATTCGTTTCTTATCAATTCGATAGTTGGTCAACGAAAATATGATTTGGATATAACTTATGAATGTAGATGAGGATGTGAGTTATTCATCCTCCCCTGGAATATTATGGTATTTTACTGTATTGCTAGTTTTATTTTATTTTTAAACCTTTCACCTCTTTATGCACTGCTAAGCTGTCAGATTGAAGGGTTTTAACCGTTCACTCTTAACAAATTTTTTCCCACTGTATGACAGCGTTCGATGCTGTTGGAGACATGATAGCCACACCGAAGGTGCAATTATCATAGATAACTGGAGTAGATTGTTGACTCTCAAGCTTATAATTTAAATGGTCAACTTACATGCATTCCATCCGCTCTGAAGGAGCTTAACTCCTCGTTTCTCAGCCTGAAACATGTTAAGGACATTGCTCGTCCCTAAGCTTATATTTCGTTTTCGACAAAAAAGCACATCAGTCTACTAGCTTCTCTAAGGCCTTCACCCACCAACATCATTTTTGAAATTGAGGACTATTTCCGATTCCAGGGATTTATAAGTTAATCTTTTTCCAAAACTTTGAACTTTCTGTAGCAATGGAGTTGTTTTTTACTGGGTGATGCTGCCAGTTACACGCTCAACCTTCCTCCGTTCACGAGATTAGGAGGGCCTAGTAAGCCAGGAGAGTTCCACACTATATCTTACTAGACTGTAATTCATTCTTCCGCACCACCAGATTAATTCACTTTGATAAATATTCCAAAGGTTTTTTCGTTACGACAAGCTATTTTCTTCCATTTTAGAACATTCGGAAATCTGAGAAGGCGTACGAATTATCCTCCGACTTATTTATACGCTATAATGAGTTCAATATGAATGTCTGTCTCCTCATAGAAGTTGGAATTCTCGTGACTAAACAGGTAAGACCAGTTTTTTTTAAAGTAAAAACTGAATATGCACCGGTACACTGTTTTTATTCACCAATTTAAATATAACTAGTGCTAAAAGTTGGTTGGATGATGGGAAAACTTGAACCCCAGTGACGATTTCCAGTCAACTTTGGAAAACAGGTTTCCTAACTGACGCTAAGTTTATTGTTTTTCTATAGTTTTGTACTTGTCGCGTGCATTGTTAAGGTTGACTAGAATTACTTTTCCGTTCATTTGCAGCTGGCGGTGTTTTTTTATTTTTAATGTTATTTGGCAAAAATATTTTGTTTAAATGGTCATATTGATGATAAAAAGCCTTGGAGGTTTCCGACTGGAGTAATGTGTAACCTTGACTATTTATCAGTTGTCTTTTCTCTCTGAATTTACACTACTGGCAATTATAGATACACATATTAGAAAGCTGCTGTACAAGTATCCACTCAAATTTGTAAGGTATTTATATCTGCGTATTTTACCAGCTTCATAAAATGCCTTCTTATTTATTAAATACTCCCATAGTAAAATTTAGAGAAACACATTTAAGCTAACAATATTGTTTTCAATTAGATCTCATCAGGCTTAACTGTAATATACATAACTTTACAAATAAATATTCATACATTAACCAATCACGGTATTTTGTCAATAGAATAATACGACTGTGCGCATAAATTATACAGTTAGTCCTAATAATACTAATATTAATAATACTTCTGTCAATAACAAGGATGAACAAGTGAGGCGATTTGTGATAATAAGACTAATGACAAACAGCATGATTAAACAAACAAATGCTCAGGTCGAATTATGGTGGTGGAAATACAGACAATGTCTGCCAACGGAATATAATTCTCACATATTCCCACAGTTCAATTCGGCATTAACAACAGAATACGATATATCTATTTGAACATTCTATTTGATGTTAGAGGCAGAATACTTATCCCACGGTTATATACTGACTGAATTAACAACAGAATACTATGTATGTACTATGTATGAACATTCTATTTCATGTCGTTTTAATGTAAGCCGAATTCACAAACTCGGTGATTGGTTAAGGAATATAGACTGTAGATGTATAAACAGAAGTTTGATGATTAAAAAATATACCTTGGCTTCCGTGTCTTGTCTTCCATTTTTACAGTAGTAGTAGCAGCTAAAGTCGGATTAAGAAATGTCAGATTGTGGTGGAAGTAAGTATAATAAGATATGTTTTAATGAAGATGTGATAAGATTAAGGGATGATAAGAGGGGGGTTAGAAATATAAGTAAGGGGAGATATCACCAGTTGGTTAGGTCTTAATATGTCAAGGGAGGGATAATGAATTTTTGAACTGCCTTTGAATTTTTAATTTAGTCTTAATAGTTCGAATGTCTATCGTCTTAGCTATGTACAGTAGACGAATATGAAGTCTATTGGAAAGATTCGGTGGGATGTGATGAGTTACCGTGATTGCTTTCGTTTCTCCACTAAATGACAACTATCAACTAAATGTGACCAAGTGGAGCTACGGATTGTTTTGTACTGTCCTTTGCCATACCACGATGAGAGATGTTCAGTAACACGTTGGCTAAGTTGTTTAGCAGTACGTCCAATATAAGTTCCACCGCAGTTGCAGTTGAATTGATAAGTGGACATAGACGTGACAAAACTATATACGATCTATACTTTGTTTTATTCCCGATCATTCATCAGCTAGGGAATGACAAACATAGGTATACTGCGTTTACTCCTGGAAGGTCTCTGGAGTAAAATCTCATTTGACAAATCACTATAAAATTGGAACCTTATAAATGGAGGTTCTTCACGTGAAATCACAGTCTCAGGTTTTATCTCCAATATTTTCATATGTTTCTTTGTGAAACTAATCGGATAGCTCATCTCCGTCAGGAAATCATGAATATATTCAAATTCCTTTTCTAAGTAGTTATTCGTGCATATCTTTCTTGTTCTGCTAGTAAGACACTTAACAACATTTCTTTTATACCTAATGGGCACACTACTAAAGGAGTGTGTATTCCCCTGTGAATGTGCTTTTAATATACACGCTTCACCTAAGTGACCGACCTCACCTACTTAGCAAGACATCCAGCTTCTCTTCACAAAAAAAAAATAAAAGTAAGCGATGGGTTGTTGTTATTGTCGAATTTCATCAACAGTTCGTCTGTTTACATTTCCATCAGCTAAGATAAATGTATTAACGATATAACGGTAATACATATCCAACTCCTTGATGATGCCTTTCACTCTCTCGTTTTTATGTTTTGCGAGGAAGAAGTCTGCTAAAACTAGAGCTAATGATGAGCCCATTAGGTCGTTAGTATGAATTATTAAAGACAAAATGCACATTCCATCGTGCACTTAAGGAGTAATTCGCGAGGCTGTACAAAGAAATTCTTAAGTCTATTTACCTTTCGGTGATTTCTTGACAAATGTAATCTACTGTTTCGATAAGTGCTACATTCATGAGTAGTAATGATGCATTTATGGATAACATAAGTTTATCACAAAAATTAGTCCAGGATATTCTAGAAATGAAGTTGAAGACATCACTAATTCTATGTTGCACAAACCCTTAGTCCAAAGGTTTCACAATCTTCACGAACCAATTTGCTGTTCCGTGAAATGGCGAGTTATACATATCCAGTGAATCAAACAAAGATGAAGGAGGAAGAAATATTATTTGAAGAAATGTATAAATTAACTCATAACACCTAATACTAGTAAATTCGCTCAGAAAATATAAGAAAAATTATAAATTGACCAGAACTGTATATGTGACTCAACACTAAAATATTGACATGACGAGAGAGAGAGAGAGAACGAGTAGTTCAGTATGCGGTGTTTATGATGCGTGGTAATTTGGTGATGCAAAACTATCTCAAAATAGCAGTCCAAGACCTCATATATTAGTACGATATCCTAGTTCGACCACTATTCCTACTCCAGCTCATCCCTATTTCAGTTTTGAAAGTGGCGCCTTACAGAAACAATAGATTGTCTAGCGAATTTATCGAATACAACTTCACTACGTCATAAAATGATTCGGCGCATTTACCTGACAATCTTTGCTTAAAAGCAACATCATTCCTTCTGCTTATCTATCACAAACTATAAACGCCCTTATTCATAATGTCTGTCACTTTTAATAGTAATATTTCACTGTTATCAATGACAGGGAATTCTCGTGAAATAGCGCTGAGATTTCGACATAATTAATACATATTTCTGATGTTTTGCATATCTCTGACTTATGTGGTCTAAGTGAAATTATTGGGTTCACCTTTATGTTATACTTTCTCACTACAGAATGCCAACCAACCCATAGAATTGAGTCTTGGATGGACTACTGTACCACTGTATGATGAAAATGGTCAAATTATGCCGAATAAGTGAGTATAAATATATTATAAGGAGAATTAAAACAACCAAAATTTTATAATTTCCAATTTTAGAAATTATGAATACCCATTGCAAGAGAGTCTACCATTCGAAACTAAGAATGCTGATAAAGGATCAGTTAAAGATGGTAAGTGTTGAAGAAGAATATGCTGGACACGAAATATTTTACACTGTTACTAATCCAGGCTAAACAGGTGAAGAAAGGTTGGGTTTGCGATACATTACCTGGTCAGATTTTTCATGTCAAACAGTTAAGTCAACATTTTAGATGATAAAAGTTAACTGTTGGAGACTTCTGCATTTTACTGTGGGCTAACTTGGAGTTTTCAGACTAAGATCAGATCAGCGTTATAACCTATTTCCTTGCATTCGTAGTGTGAAACACAGGCGTTCAACGACACGGCTCCATTACACTTTCCCGTCTACCGCAACATCCAGCCGCATTTATAACTGCTCATAGGTTTACATTTCTTCATCACATAATGTCACCACAGGATGCCCAATCAGTCTAATGTCACTCCATGTCTTGGAGTGTGATGTTGCCTGGTGGTCTCCTCAACGTGTGTCCAATTTATCCGTATTTCCTTCTGGATATTTGTTGAATATGCAAAAGGTTGTCTGATTTGCTGCTCACCTGAGTTCTTTGTTATTAATCGGTTGCAACCAGGCGTCTAATTTTCAGCATCAAGCAAAGGCAGCGGGTGATGATGAGCGTTTTCAGTAGCTTTTTCGAAATGCTTATTAAGTTTCCAATATAAGAAAAGCAGTGTAGGATATGACAATAAAAAAATAACGTGATTCAGAACAGAGACTTCATTCTTTTTTTCTATTCATTTAAGTTCCCAGTGGAACATATGACCTCAGGCTAGTTCTTCGAAGTTTCAATAGCTGTGTTGTTTTTACAGGATGGGGTTGCTAGCCTCACGCTCAACCTTAACTCTTTACCACATTTAATACTTGGTAAGTGAAGTTTGGAAGTGCGTCGACGGGGGAATCAATCTCCGGACCACTTTCGTCGTTAGCCAGTGTTCTGCCACTAAGCTACCGACGTACACAGACTTCATTCAAGAAATACAATTCAATAAGATATATAATAACAGTTATATACTACTCTCTGCAAAAGCAGAACATTTAAATTCCATTCACATCATGAATGCATCAAAATGAGTAATTCCCCTTAATATTCGATTATATTCCGCTATCTCTAGTGTAAATATGTATGTTTTCTGTTACACTTCGGTTAGTCTTCTCTGCTCACAAACATTTTTCTTATTGATTTAAAAAAAATTTTTATTTGACCTTTTGCCTTCCTGGAGAACTAATGCATGTACGCATCAGACCTGTTGCTCCTGTTTACTAAAGTTTACTATGTACCTACTAGGGAACAGAATTTCTAACAAAGCCAACTTTTCAAAATTACTTTCTCTTCTTATATTTATCGAGTTTTCGTCATGCCTTCAGTCTGAATAAACACAAACAAACACACAATTACCCTTGTATCTTACTCGCCATATTATTGGGCAATTTCTCTACGGCTTTATTATCTTCGTGTGCGCCTGCTTCAACCTAGACCCTTATAATTTATAGACAAAAGACAAGTAGTTCAGCGAAGAGTCTCTTTTCGGCGAATTCATTTTCATAGCTGTACAATCGCAAATATATATGGTTATTTTGTGTGTGTGTGTGTATACATTAAATTTGCCAAACGAAAATACAATTAGTAAGTTCAGATGTATTGGATGTTAATATAAGAGGATAGTAACAAAAGTGATGAGTTGTCATTAATGATTGTTAAATAAGAGTTACGTGATGGCATGAATAGTTTGATGAAAGAGTTGTGTTCAGGGTGTACATGGAGACAAAATAATATACAGAATTACACAAGGCTTTTAAGTTAGAAAAAAGAAAAATAAGCATACAAACAAAAGTAAGGTCAAATCAACGGAGTTGTTACCATGCGAGTAGAAGTGGTTGGATAATTTTCTTTTGTATGCATAGTTCTGGTTCCACCAACTGAATGGCTAGGGCTTCTGCGATGCAAAGAAGACGGAATCGTACTGTCTTTAGAAGGTTGTTCTTCACTATGTAGATTACTTTGAAGCAGGAGGCGTTTGTTGAGATGGAATGACCAGTGTTGAGGAGATGTTCGATTATTGCACTCCTTATACGGCTATTATTATTTCCTTTCTGTAGCCACGCTGGATAGTGTTGTTTGACCCTTTTTGACAGGATGCGCGTTGAACGACCGATGTACCTGGCTGGTTCCACAGCAACAGGTGAACTGATATTATTCCTCTTAATTTATACATCTCAGTATTTGATTGGCATCATACATGTGCATTAGAATCCACGTTTCTTTCTCAGGTAGTCTGAAAAGTCGTGTGCAAAATTTACTTTTCAATAAAACAACTCAGATGACCATACGATTCAGTCAGCCAAATAAAGAACAACAAGACAAATTGGAGTGAGTTTAAAACTGTTTAGAAGTTACATACGGTCTTTCACTGTTCAGATCAGATCTGTTGGTTTTTCAGGGGCATAATTATCTACCTTTTCTGTAGTAAACAGATGGGGAAAGATATGTAGTTCAAAGAATAGACGTTTTAGTACACGATTTTACATATCACAGCTATTTTTCACAAGTCTTTGTGAAGGTTCCCATAGATAAAAGGAAAGGAACAGGACTAATGTCAATCTATTAAATGAATAAGTAGTTTTCAACAACTTAAGGTAGTTCCAGTTTATTCAGCTTCCTGAATTGATTAAATCCGGAGGTATTAGTGGTATTTTTATCATTCTAAAAGAACGAACCGACCGCTTATTCTTGAGATCATTAGGATTTTAATAGTGCACAATACAGACTAGTTTGATTTTTTTTAAGGAATCATTTCAGTTACCCAAGTGTGTACACTGTAACTCATGCCGCATTGGTCAATAGCTTACTTCAGACGTTATATTGATGAATCATTGATTGCATGAGGTTGTACTACCACCCTGTGAATGTAATTCTGTAGAAATATAAAAAAGATTTCATAATTATGTTGCATGTTGACCTCTGGATATAGAAGTAAAACCTTCCTGTTCATTTCAAACTGTCATACTTCTCTCTGCCAATGGAGAGATACAGTGTAGATGGTGTTTAAGCACCGCTTGACTCAATTTTTATCCTGACAAAAGACTTAACTTGAGTGAAGTGGGATATTAGACAGTAAATAACGGGAAATCGCTTGCATTGATGGCGACTTTCATTTTGACAGAGAATTCCGAATCAGTCATGAATTAATTTCAAAAGACAAGTGTGTCTTAACAAAAGGTGTGCAAAACGGTGATAAATATAATGTTTATGTCACAATCGTCTATCCTACTTTAAAGTACTTTAAGGGAGTAGGTCCCTGCATGTTGATTAGTTAGTCATTTTAGTTAAGAAACCTGTGGTTGTGAAATTAAGAAGTTTGATGAGCTTAATTTGACGGTCAACAGCGTATCAGTAGTCCTGCTGAAAAGCATAAATATTTCTGGTGTTTATTCCGGTCTAATTTTAATTCATATAATGAATGTCTGGGTTCTCTGAATTTCCCCTTTTAACTTACAGTGCTCTTCCCGATGTCCTAATCGGTTTGATGGGTTATACACCATTTCTCAGTTATCATCGTGACCTTTTGGCGAATGTATTCCCTGGCTACCGTGGATCAAGTGGAAGAGACCGACTGATTTTACGTCATGTTCCCCCGGAAGTTGCAGTTTTCCCAGTAATTGCTGATTGTCCCCTGCTTATTGAGTGTTTACGGGTAAGTAAGTTGGACAAACATAGAACGCACTTCTTGAATAATCTGATCGTTTAAACACACAACACAAATACACAGTGTTCCTCCATTAATACATTTTAGTTATCCATATTTATGTTTACGCCTACTTATAGGGTAGGTGTTTCAATAAGACGTTTGACAGTTACCCGCTGAATGAATGGTTCTTATTGCGAAACTGAAATAATGACTACTGATTGTGATGCTTGTATTTCCTCCCAAAATACACAAGTCTAAGTGAAGTTATAGGAGAAGATATAATTTATTGTACTACAAAAGGCTGAAATAGTAGCTTAAAAACTTTCATCATAGTTAATAATAATAATAATGGTTTACTTTATTCCAAAAACAGTACTTGTGATACAGAATGGAATTTTCAGCATTAATCACAATATTGCATCTAATTTCCTCAAATTATAAATAAAATTAATCACACAGAAAATTTTCCACATTTACAATAGAGGTAGTGTCAAAAACATGCAGCATATAAAATGGAAATAGCAATAATAATGATAACAGCTAGGGTAATAATAATAAGAATACAAGTGAAAATTGCCGTTGGCTTGTGTCACACAGTATTGGCAATGTGGTATAGAAATCCTAACATGTTTAAAAATATTGAATATAATGTTCTCTTTACATGATATGGTGAGGGGAAAAACAAAGATTACAGCCGTCATGGAGATAAGTTGGTGTTTGCAATTATGAGAGTAAAACAGAGAAGTAACAGGACCATAAATATAATAGAAGTAATAAAAGTAAAACTTGAAGGTATATAAGGATGGATGGAGGAAATTGTTTATTTACTAGATGAAAAAAGGTTAGTTAATTCTTGCCTGACACTATTTTCATCACATAAAATACGTGCCAAGTATGGTATCATAGAATTCTTATACTTAGACGTGCGAGCATACAGTTTTCTGAAGTTACTCCTTGTTCTACCTGAGGAGATGCAAGGTGAAAGCTGAGGGTAAAGCGGATGCTCCAAGTCAGACAAAATCCCTTTAGCAAATTTATTGCACGAAGTCAAGTGCCTATCGACAACGACGTTAACTATGTGGTCCACTGGGACACCACTCACTCTACTGACAGCGTCTTCAGTATTCTACGAATTGTGACATAGTCCTTTTTAAGCAAACCAGGAAAGAATAAGGGTGAACAATAAAGAAGAATAGGTAGGATGCAAGAGTTTATGAACTGTAAGAGGAGGGGTTGAGTTATACCCGAGTGTCTTAACTTCTTAATGTAAAATGTCAGGCGGAATATTTTACTGGAGATTGCTAAGACATGGGAAGACCAGGAGAGATCAGAAGAGAGAATGAGTCCAAGATACTTAATTTCTGATTTGATTCCTATATCATTGTCGTCAATTTTACAACTGTCATGAGAATCGATGACTTCTTTTAACTGTCGTTTACATCTTAAGCTGAAATCAACAGTTTGACACTTAGAAGGATTCAGTTTAAGACCGTTAGACTCAGACCATTTGCTGACTCCCGATAGAAAGCTATTTATTTTAGTACAATCTAGCTGGGAGTTAACAGCCATTGAAACCGTTAAATCATCAGCGTACTTCACAAAGTTTATTTCATCAGAGTGAGGCAAGTCATGCAAGAAGAAAGAAAAAAGAAAAGGAGAAAGAACAGCGCCTTGAGGGACACCAGCTTCAGTAGGCAATGAAGTGGAAGACTTCCCTTTATATACGGTGTACTGCTTTCTATCTGAGAAATAGGAATGTAACCAGTTAACAGCCCAACATTCTGTTTGACTAGCAGCAAGTTTATTTAATAAGATGTCCCTAGGGACCGAGTCGAAAGCAGATGTATAGTCTAGGAAGGCACAACGAACAAATTTAGCCCCCTTGTCTAGACTGGAAGCAATGTTATGATATAAGACGGCAGCTGCATCTAAAGTGCTTCTACTGTGCTTATAGGCAAATTGTTTAGGGTCATTAAAGGATTTAAGCGAAGGTACAAGACTAAGTAAAAGCAATTTCAAGTTTTGGTTTTCTAGGGATTTTGTTTGATTGCATGGAGGATTTAATCATGAGCTGACATCAGTTAGAGAACCACTGGAAAACCTGGGATTACTGGACAGCTGTTTCGTCCTAGTTTGGGACTCCTCAGCAGTACGCACCCACCGGGGTTCGAACGCAGTAATTTCTCCATAGTTTTCAAAAAAGGAGAGGTAATAGCAATGGGTCTAAATTTGACACATGCTCCAGTAGAAGATTTAGGTATGGTACAACTTTACTGTCCTTCCAAACGGCAGGCACAATATTATCGGAAAAAGATTTGTTAAATAGATCAGTGAGAGGGTGACACAGAATATCAGAACATTTTTAAAAATAATACTAGGTACATAATAGGGACCTAAGCTCTGGGAAGGGTTTAGAGACTTGAGGCACTTTTGAACATCATTTGTGTTAAAACCTGGAAAGGGGCTATTATTAACACAAGTGATGCTGGGAAGCATGGGATTTGAGGGGGAGTAAATAAAAGATTTGTTAAGAGTACATACATCAAAAGAATATAGAATATTGTTTATCTGCTTACCACAGTGATTTCCTTAAATAGTTTCCACATATTAGAAGGTGAGAGCTGTCTGCTAGCCAAAATTGACAGACAGCAATTTACGTCAATGTTTACTTCCCAAATCTTGGTGATGAGAAAAACAAGAACGAAGACTTTGCGTGGGTGTAAACGATTCACAGATATGTGGTCTGACCATCAAAGAAACGGCCACAAAGAAATGACAGTTTAACTTTCAGTGAGAAAACAACCCATCAGAAGGCACTGTTTCGCAGATAAATAACGAATAATAATGTTCATAGAAATCTATAAATATCTAATGATTTCCTCAATCAACGATCTGTTGCCTGGTCCTTGTCTTCTGTCATTACAACAGTGCTGAACAAAATAGTATCAAATGTAACCTTTCAGTTTACTTATTTTCTTTCAAAGTTTACTCGCCTATTATTCAAAATGTTTAGCTTTGATAAATTATTTTGAATGCATCATAGCCTTCAAGCACAAGTAATAGTGAAGCGGTGATTCATGCACAGTATTAAATTTGAAAGATAACTGTGTATCAGTCTCTTGTGTGAAATGATGTAATAGGGTGAGCAATATTGAGGTTAGGCATCAGTCGAGTGCTAGGTAAAGAGGAGGGGGAGATCAACAGACGATGCTGTGAAGTTACTTCTATTGAGATGGTTAGGATATGTGTTACGCATGCCTAGCCATCACCTTCCTCGATGGACAATGTTAGCTGACATAGAATGGGTCAGGTTGGCAAAGAGCCAGTGGTGGTCAAACGAAAGCATGGCATCAGTCAATGAAATCTACAACAGTTAGTTTAAGCCAATCACGTAGGGAAGTGCAGACTTCCTGGTTGGAGTCCTCGGGACGGTAGACACCAGTGGCTGAAGACAATCATTGATGTGGCTCAAAATCGTTCTCAATGGCTGGTGCAGATGCATCCACTCCTTTTGACTTATAATGTCCAATATAACTATATTCCTCTTCGATATTACTATTCTTTTTGCCTCATATCTCTATTTACTGTCTCTATTTTGCGTCTCTTTTTACTTTCTTCTTCTCTGGCTTTGTTTGCTGAGTGAAGTGTGGCGACTTGAGTTGCTGCACATCGATGCAAAATTCTATGTTGAAACTAGTCAGTCAGTTTACAAAAAATTAGCAAAACAGATGGAAACAGGTTGTAATCCTACCTCACCCTCGGTGTTTTACACGTTGTGAAATCCTATCTTTTGTACTGAGTCAGAATTTGTTAAGTAAGTCCGTTTATCCTAGGGAATAATTATGCAAGTGATTTGTGTATGGTTTCAGTGCTTTTTCAACTTTTCCAATTTTTGAAACTAATATAGGTTTCTTGGCAAGATCGTCTTAAAGAAATCCCAGCCAATAAGAAGGTAATTTAATTTTAATAAAATTATTTCAAAAGGAGACATTTTTTTCTGACAACGTATTTATTATTTGGTTTTACCGAGTACTTGATATTCCTCGATATAGTTTATCAATTGTTTTGAAGATTCTTGATACACCAATATTTTCTTTTAAAGTTTCTTCATAAAAATGAACTTATTGGCGCAGCTTCAGATCTTGTAAAATGTCCACATCCATTGTGTGTCTGATGGTCATTAGGTTCAAATCCACTTTGATAGATTTCTGATGACATACATACTATATCTTTATTCCTTTGCGTTCCCAGTGGAACATAGGGCTTCAAGCTAGAGGCTTGAAGTTTCGGTAGCAGTGGTGTGTTTATTTCACGTGATGGGGTTGCCTAGCCCCTTGCCCAACCTTCCCTCTTTACCGGTTTTTCTACTGGCTTAGCGAGGTAAAGGAGTGCGTCCAGTGGCCGGGGATCGAACCTTGGACCACATGCGTGGTCGGCGAGCATTCTACTGCTATGCCACCGACGCACACAGATACTATATATTGACAACTATTAATAAGCACAAAACGTATATTCAAGGCTCCCCACCTCGTGTTTCTAAACCACTTAAGGCTGTTCACCTTCGAGTTGTATGTGACGTGTTAATTGTATGTGCCTACATTTTGAGAAGTCTTAGAGTTGCACCTGAAATCAACACACTGTACGCTACACAAAAGTCAGTGTTTTCATCGATGTGAGTGTTATATACAGTCATGTGTTAGTAGAGCGAAGTTAATCAAAGATCTGGATTATATATGACTACTTTGGGGCATCACATACTCTACAGATAAGTAAATTTAAACATGGATTTCTGTGAAATAACACTTCTTTTTGTTTTCTTCGTTCTTTTTTTTCACAACTTTTCAGAAAGATACAGAATACCTTAGAAAGATTTATTCAGATCACTTTAGAAGGGTGATTTATCCTCTACTTTGGCTACAAGATATGCATTTCTCAAATGTGATGAGTGCACAACAATTCGAGGTAAAATACACGGGGTAACATTAGATTGTGCAATTTTACCAATTATTATTTATTTAATTAAAAAGTTTTATGCCATATCCAAACTGTCGAAGCTAATCATATGCAAACGATTCAGTTATTATTTCAATGCATCGCTTATCGAATGTTGTACCTGTTTAAAAATAAACACGGTGACAATACTGCATATCAGATGGGATAGATTTTATTTCGACAACACTGACTACCGACCTGAAATGTCGAGGAAAGCATCGACCTCTCCTGAATGTTAGAAATCGGATGCTGGTGACTCCGAATGAATGATAGGAGTGGTGTGGATCCATTATTAAATGTTTCTATACTTAACAAGCCTTACCACGAGAATTATACTGACTGAGTTTATCGCCAAGCCATACGAAAACGAACTGGAGTATGAGAAGAACAAATTTGATGGAACCCAGTGTGTTGTTTCAGGTGGCAAAGAGAATGCTGTGATCTAGCCTTCAGCCTTTGGCATCTCACCACATTTCTAGGCCTAAATGTGCATTTCGACTGTGTCGGTTGAGAACTTCCACCTCAGTATATGTGTGTGGAAGAAGGCGGTCGACGCAAACTTGTTTCGAGTTCACCAACTTGTGTAATATTTGGTACCAGTGTGATATGCAGTTATCCATAAAAGCGTTTACATGTCACTCATCAGTTTTCTGTCTCCTGCTTTACGACTGACACATGTTTGACGAAAGTAGAAAATAGAAAACGAGTGTATGTACCTAAGGTAGAGACTGACATTATAACCAATGGTGAGATTAGGTGTAGAGTTTTGGTCAGACGCATGGCTGAGGCATCCCAGATAGGCAATCGTCGTCGACTGGTTAGCAGTTAATTCAGTAAGGTGTGGTAGGTGATCACACTAAAGAAGCATGCTATTCATCCAAGCTTTGTGGGATATTGATGGATGTAGGTCACGTGGTTAGCACACTCCTCATGCTATAAATCAGTGAATGCAAGCTCTTAGCTAAATGCTTCAAAATGATTCACAATAACGCAGATGCATTTCGTATTTATCATCTTGAGAAGTCAGATCATCACTACTTTTCATCAAACATTCCCTCCTCCGTCCGCATATCTGAGTCAATTTCAAAGTCATTCTATGCATATCCTCTTATTTATTATACGTTTTACCGGAGTATGGCAACTTGAACCAGCACAGCTCTGTGCGAACCTGCGACTTAAGGTATCAGTGATATTTAATGAAGCTGATTTTTGAAGTATATTCTTAACTTCTCCCCCTTAGTTTAATCTGTTTGTTATTGGGAAGTGATAGTCGACTTCTTTTGATATTCTTCACTAAGTTAAATTAGTTTATCAACGTTTATCTCTTTTGTATCCAACGTAAGCTTTGTCATACCTGTAACACACTGTTGAGCAGCAAATGTTCATTTTGCTTAGTTGTTTCGAATTCACGTTTACTATCCTCTGAGTATTGAAGTGAATGAGATTTCTCACTGACTATTATATTCACTTGTTAATGTGTGCATTAATTCAGAAAGGTAATGAATTTCCTTTTTATACTCGTTGAATGTAAATTTTGAACAGTTTTACAGCTTTCGGTATCCGGTTTTGGATCAAAGTATAGCATGGATAAATGCATATAATGCACAAACAGTTTCTGAATGTTGTATGCACTTTTTTTTTCTTCATTACTGCTTTCAGCAAAATGTTTATTTAAGCCTTCTGACAAACTGAATTCAATTTGAGATAATTCTTTAACAAGTATATCAAGCTCTCCGTTATGAACGTGAACATTACCCTGTATGTTATGAAGTACAGCATTAGAATCGTTGTACTTTTGGTAGTTCCCAAAGGTTTATGATTTTATGAAGGCCAAGTACTCCACATTATTAAGTGATGATCATATTTGTCAAGCACAAAGAACACACTTATTGTCAAGTCCATGATTTCGAATATTTGAAGAAAGCATGAATCTGTCTGTCTGTTTTCGACATAGAACTTTGCACAAATGTGCGGAAGTTCAAGTCACCACATTCCGTGTAGCACGCGAAGCAAGAGAAGAAAGTACAAGAAAAGCATAATAGAAACAGTAAGCAGAGGTGTGAGACAAAGGAGTAATAAAGAAATACAAAACAGTTTCATTGAAGATCATAAGTCACAGGGAGTGGATGCATCTGCGCCACTGAGAACAGTTTTGAGCCATGTCACCAATTGTTTCCAACCATAGAGTTTTACCGTCCCGAGGACCGCAGCCTGGAAGTCTACACCTTTCTACGTGGCTTAGACCAACTGTTGTGGATTTCATTGACTGATGCCAAGTTTTTGTTTGACCGCCGCTAGCTTTTTTCCAGCCTGACACTATATCCGCTAACATTGCTCATCGAGGGAGGCGATGGCTTGGCGTACGTAACACATGTCCTAACCATCTCAGTCTTTGTAGCTTCACGACTTCGTCGATTGATTTCCCCTGTTTACCTAGAACTCTACGCCTAACCTCCATGTTGCTCACCTTATTATGCCACTTTACACGGGAAATAGAACGCAGGCACCTATGATCAAAGACAGCTAGTCTTTTCATGTCTTCCACTCTCAGTGGCCAGGTCTCACAACCATAAAGGAGGACGGAGCGGACTGATGAGCAGTACACCCGCCCTTTGGTCGATAGTCGAACATCTCGTCTACGCCAGAGTCGGCGTAAACTAACAAATGCGAAACGAGCCCCTGTATTCGTGCTGAGATTTCGTCAGAGATCAGCCCGTTGGGGCTGATGGTACTTCCCAAATAAGTGAAGCGGTCAACGTGCTCTACCACTTCACTTCCTATTTTTAAACTAGGCGTCGATGTAGTCCAGTCCTGTAACATCATCTTGCATTTGGCGGGAGCGAATCGCATGCCAAACATTCGTAGATTGCTGTTCAAGGTGTTTAGAAGACTCTGCATTTCGTCAGCGTCTTCGCCTAGAAGGACTATATCGTCTGCATATTCTAAGTCAACGAGATTATTCCCTCTTAGCAGGTCAATAATCCCTGAGTTGCTGAAGTTAGTTAGGGTTAAGTCCATTAGTATATCTATGATGAAGTTGAATAGAAAAGGGGATAATGAGCATCCTTGACGGACACCACTAGTTGTCACCAGTTCAGATGACAGCTCACCGTAAGCCCTCACCTGGCTGTATGAGTACGAGTAGAGTGCCTTAATCAGTGCAATATATTTTCTTGGAATTCACTTTACAGCCAAGCATCTCCAGAGAACTTCCCGATCGACAGAGTCGAATGCTGCCTTTAGGTCAAGAAATATAATGACTGTTGGACGCCGGTAGGAATTCCTATGTTCTAGAATCTGTCGGAGGGTGAAGATATGATCAATACACCCTCTTCCTGGTCTAAAGCCTGACTGGCTCTCACGTGTTTGTGCTGAATACTGTGATAGTTGAAGAATTTTCAAAGATATGCAGTCTAAAGATATCATTGAGTCTATGTACAGAAACAATATAAATGTATTTGCAATTTTCAGATGTTGTTGGTTGACAGGGAGTTCAGATTCAAACAAAAAATCAATCCATGCAAGGCTCAGCAAAGCACACTGGAGATATTCTTTTACGTATTGTTCCTAATCTAACTGATACTGAACACGGAAGTAAATTTGTGAACATTGTTGGATGTAACACGATACTTATCAAATTTGCATAGGCTTATTTTGAGCAGGTAGTCCTGCATACCAGTTTTACTGTTAACATACCGATGCTTTGTAGTAAATCCCGCTAACCAGAGAAAATTATGTTACTGTTTCTTAGATTTTACCAAATCGAATAATTATACTTTTTGTTTACAGCTTGTGTTCCACTTTCTACTATTTCAACAGAATGATGCAGCCAAAACACTCCTTTTACTTGATCAAATTCGACAGGATATAAACACCTTCGTCACATCGAACAAATACAAATTCAAGTTGATCACTTCGAAAGAGTTCACTTGTCCAATTCAGTTTGCCAGCTGATTCAACAGCACTACTATGCAACTACTTTATATTGCAATCATTTTTCAAACATTTTGTAATGAATTGTATCTAAATTTTAAAAAACAAAAATGCTAAAGGCAATAAAGAAATAAATTTTGTCTACAAAATATCAATATCTTTGAAAAGTTAGAAATTTATAAAGGAATGACTTGTCTGTCCTGAAACAGTATTTTCTGTCACACAGTCATTATCAACATAGAATATGTCATCCTACCGTCTATGGTAAGTAGTTCAAGTTTCTAAGCCACTGAGCTATAAACCAAATGTAAATTCACAATGCGGAAGATGGAAAACTAGAAATAATATGAAATTCGAAAGTGATAGAATGTTTGAAGTCAAAAGAAGAAAATGAAATCTAGATCTATCTACACTACTACGATCGACTGCAAGAGTTAGAGTTCTTAAGCAATATTTCCTGTAGTCACGTAGCTGGAAAGTGCACCTTATATATATGGCGTTAATAGACAGTCAGCCATTTTATTGGTTCGTTTATTCATGATTCGATGTAGCATTGAACAATTTTAATCACTTTTGAATTCGAAAAAATTATTACAAGTTAATAAGACTATTCAACAATATACAGTCATGTTACAAAATTGTTTATGGATTTAGAAAAGGTGGATAAGATTTGTAGCACACACGGATCATATCGGTGTACTTGTGTTGCTTGAGCTGGATTGTCTAATTGCACATCTTTCACTGTCCTGATAGATAGATAACGTCTCCGACTTTAACTTCAGTGTGAAATGAGCTTTCAGAATTCCCCGTGAGTGTAATAACTGTCTTTTTAAGAGACTGAACCCCACTGGTAGTCTCTAGAGATTTTCTTATTTTTATGTTCACACGTATTAGTGTCGATTACTTTGTTAACACAGTATTCAGCATTTTATCCACATGATTTCTTTTGCAATAATTGATAAATCTTATCTATATCAATATGCCTGTTTATTGCAGATTGGCCCGAGTACCAGGCTTCTAGGAATTCCCTGGCATTCTTGATTTCTTATTTCTCTAAAACTTTCTAGACTTTTGGAAAACAGGAAACCTAGTTTTAACAAACCGCCATGGGAATAATATCTGAACAGATTTATCGGAGTTTCATCAGTCGTCGTTTGAAAACTTTTTCTTTAAACGAAGTTGTCCTACTGTAACAACAGAAGTCAACGGCCAGGCAACAGATTGTTTATTAAGGAAATCAACATATATTCATAGATTTCCACGTACATTATTATACATTATTGTTAGCAGAAAAACACAGTCTTCTGATTGGCTGTTTCTCACTGAAAGTTAATCTTTCATCTCTTTGTGGCTGTTTCTTGAAAGTCAGATAATCTATATGCTAATTGTATCCGACTATGCAAAGTCTGCTGTGGTTGATTGTTAAATCAGTCTTTGTTCTTATTTTTCTCACGACCAATATTCGGGACGTAAACATTGACGTGAATTACTGTCTATCAATTTGGCTAGCAGCCAACTCTCAACACACTACTTCTTTTGAGTGCAACTCTGTCAACATCCAGAAAAACTGCTTTGACTGTTGTATGTCATGAATAAACCATTTTGAGAAAAAGGTTTTACTGGAATCAGCCCAAGGGTGTAAGCCTATTCACCCGGCAGGCCCAAAGTGAAGAGCAAATAGAGGATTATTGTCTGTATTAATTTCATTGCTTGAATTCTGAATAGAACACACAGGGTTTTACCGAAGTATATACATTCCACTTTGTTCTATTCTATCGCTTTCATGAGAAAACAACACTACCCACAATCTTTTATCTCTTCTTCACATACTCTTCTCCATCTCAATATCAAACTTCCAACCCGTCAATTGCCATTCGTTTTCAAATCGATGGCGTAGTCTGTAATGTTGCATCTATGCGTTTTCACTGCATGTACACTCTGTCTGTATTTCCCCCTGCATATTTGTTGTTTGGGCAACAGGTTGCTGGCTGATTCGGTGGTTGTTAAAGTTCTTTGTTGCATATTGTTTCCAATCGGCCATCTTATTTTTCGTATTAAGGGAAGGGGGCAGGTGTCGATGAAATCCTGTAGTAGGTTGGCTGACACAGTTTTCGTGACGGATGATGTATATCTCATGTCAAAAAATCTGAGAGATATACATGAGAAAACCAACATGTTGGAAGAAGAGTCAGTCAAATCAGGAATTCATATGAAGTTAGAGAAGATAAAGGTGACGAAGATACCTGACTAACAATCACCATCAATAGAAGAAATCTGAAGGAAGTTGTGTCCTTCACTCACCTGACTAGCATTTATTCTGTCACAAGCGGCACAGGAGAGGAATTAAGCCGTTCTGTTATATTTTTATCACCATTACGTTTTCTGCAGCTGGAGTGGTAAAGCTGAAGCTTAATTACTCGACTCGGCCCCTATGAACAGTTGTCGATGTGCTATCAGGCTAAAACGTTATACTAGACTAAAAAGCGACCGTTCAGAGAAGCGTCACCTGTTTAATATCTCTGTCTATATACCGATGGATAGTATCCTGGATGCAATTAAAGATGAATTCTACCTCAATATTAGTGAAGTTCTGAAGTAGATGTCGTATTACCAGGACCTGAATACACAAGTCGCATGTCAAGGCTCAGCGAAGAGTCATTTAGGTGGCCACTGGGGGCGCTACACAGTCGTAGGCCATATTTTGGGATCGTCTTCTAAAGCTTTGTGCAAGTCATATTGCTAACAGGTAACGACTGATTAATTGCACAAAGGACTCCTCTCCCATCTAGGGCATATTTCGTCATTTCGAAAATATTTGGTTGTGTGTTAGATTCATCTTATGGTTCGGTGTTGATCATAAACGTCGTCATCAACAAGCTGACGACTGGTAGTACCTGCCACCTCTTCCAATTAAAAAACCAACCAACAGTCAAGAGTAGCTTATACAGCTTTAATAACAAGATGCAAAGGCCAGGCCGCTGGTGACTTGAAAAATGTGAGCTCCTCATAAATTATTCATGTCCATTGGCGCAATCCTGTGTATGGCAAGTATAATAACATGTGCAAGGCTCTAATGTTAAAAGCCAGATAGTGACCACACAAATACCGTGAAGCTCAGGTAGTCAGAAATTGAGTGTCAGATGAAATCAACAGCTGCATCCTGAAAATGACTGCAATCTTTTCTATCTCGTTCCAACTACTGACAACGAGAAGTATATATATATATATTGGATTTAATACGCAGGATGAAGTAGTCAGTGGATGAGTCTGAATGGTTTAATCTCAACTAATAACGTTAGTAGAATATATGATACCATAAAAATACACAGGTCTGGTTAGCCCATACGACCAATAATAGATTTCAAAAATACCCCTACTTATGAATTATCAAAAAGCTTAGCTCTAATATTATGTTTCATTAGAAATTGTCAAAACTCTAGGTCGGCTGACTAATTCATATGAAATGAAACGAAAACCAAATGACATTCAAACAAAGAATAATGAAACAATGGTTAGATTTGATATAACTAGTCTTTATACTAATATACCGGTGAATATGGCCTTATAAGCAGTTAAAAGAAAGCTAACTTCTGATCTGAACGTACCGGAGAGTCACAACTCAAAATATAAAAAGTGTGTCAAACATGGGTGACCGAGTTTAAACAAAAGTTCAAGGATACAATGTGCACTACAAAGGAATTCAGTTATACTTTACATCTACTGTCTCTACAATCCAGGGCAAAATATATAGACAAACAGAAGGGATGGGATGGATCACCAATATCCAAATTGTAGCAGATAAATTTATGGACAGCTGGGAAAATATGTCTCTTTCTACATTTAATCCTATTCCAAAGATACGGTGAAGATTATGAGGATGACACTTTCACGGTGTTAAAAGCAGAACATATTTCTGGCTTCTTCACACACACATAAACTCACTAGTGAAGGGAATCGGAAAATGAACAAGAAGAATTAGCTGTGATGTTAGATTGTAGTGAACATCATCAAACATTTGAACCTTTAATAAAGTGAACAGAAGGTAAATTGCACACTAGCGTTTATATAAAGGCAAGGCATTCTGCAAATAGATATTTAGACTTTAATTCATCTCATCTGTTAACTTTAAAGGCAGGTTTAGTTAAGTGTCTAACAAACCAAGCAATAGCACTAAAAGGTACAAGAAAAGACCTAAACGATGAAAGGAAACAGATAGAAGGAGAACAGTTGGTGTTAAATAACTATCCACTAAAATTCATTAGGAAAGTCAGAAAAGGTCAAAAACAAAATAATAGTGGAACTAATAATAACAATAACAAAGAATATAAGGCATTTACAGTTTCACCACATAATGAAAGGATTCTTAATAAAGCAGGAACTCGGGTGGCATTTAAACCTACAAACTCATTCGGAGACAAGCTCTTTAGGCTAAAGGACCCGGTTGGCCGAATTAAACAAAATTAGATTATTTCCAAAATACCTTGAAATGACTGTGAGTTAGGTCAACTACATAGGTCGAACTGGTAGATCGAGAGTAGTGAGATTATCAGAACATAAGAATTTAACTAAGGTTAGAATGACTGACCTCGCGAAGGTAAGTAATTTAGAAAAAAGCTCATCACTACATTGCACTGAATGCATTAACACACAACAACAAAATAGGGTGGGACAGAGTTACAATTCTAAAATGTAACCTAGGTAAATGGAGAGAGAGATTGATTACTGAATCTTTGTTCATCGAATCTACGCCCAACACAATACATGAATTTGGAATGACTCATCATTCATACTGGAAGTATCGAAAATATTACTATCAGTCAAATCAAGCGATGAGCAGTAGTGGAATCATATAAATGAAGTTGGAAAGTTGTGTAACTTTATATGATCATAAGCAATAAATTGTGCTCGAAATGTCATCAGTAAACATTACTGTATGACATTGTATCAGAATAAAGTTTATCCATAATGGGATTGTAATTTAATACAGTGCCCAAGTTTTATCCTTATACCAGCTTCGTCTA